CCAGGGCTACGACTTCAACCAAGGAGTGGACTACCTCGCCCTGCTGAAGTCCTACCTCAACACAGGCTTCCGGGCCACCAACTTTGGCCTGGCCGTCCAGGAGATCAACAACATGGTAAGATGGGCGCTACACAGGGAGAACTTGGTGAATGAGCATGAGCAAAAAAAAAGTAGGCACCAATTATTACAATTGGATAAGTTATCAAAGCTCTGCAGATGATGCTTAACTTTACAATTATTTTGTATTAATTTTATTTTTCAAATTGATTATTTTGAGCTTGTGTTCTGCAAATAAAAAAACCTGAACTTTGCGTTCTGCTCCACATCTACAGATAAAGAGGCGTCAGCAACCGGTGAAGGCGGTGAATGGAATTGTTGAAGATCCATCCACCTGCCCCTGCCTCAGGAGCTGCACCATCTTCCTCAGTTGCACGTCAAATCTCATCAGCTGTGGAGTCAGGGAGAGTATCCGCTACCTCGCAGAACACAAAATGGTACGACCCTCTTCAAATATATTGAATCATTAGAAATATATTATTTTATGTTGTGTTAAAGCAATACACGCTCTGGCACGTATTGTACTACAGCACATTTGTTCCCGAATGCAATACATTTCTTTCTCTGTATAGGTAGGTGGATGTCTTCGTGACCACGGCTGGAGGTATAGAGGAGGATCTGATCAAGTGTTTGGGCCCAGTTTACATTGGAGACTTTTCTTTGCCTGGCAAGGATCTGTAAGACAAAGGCCTTAACAGGTCAGAGAACATGTCGGATATAATCAGAAGATGATACCTTGAGACTAAAATAACTTCATTTGCGCGTCACTTTGTGTCACTGCAGGACTGGAAACACCCTGATGCCCGAAGAAAACTATGAGAAATTCGACAAATGGATGATGCCGATCTTGAAGCAGATGCTGGAGGAGCAGAACACTCAGGTGCTTGGACTCCATTTTTAACATTTGTCTAGCTGTTTTCCTAAAATGTTCTATATTTGCAAGGTGTTAATTCCAAAATGTAAAAAAACAATATTCATAAAATGAGTCATATTATACCTCATTTTGATACCTAATGTTTCCGCCGTACCATCAATATCACTTTTGAATTGCTCTTGCATTGCAAAGGCTTTACATCAGCAGTTGATCATGCTAATCTATTTATTGTGGCAGCTGAGACGTCCTGATCCGCTCACACTTTAGTTATACCTTTTCTGTGATGTTACTTCTTTCAGGGCGTTCGCTGGACTCCATCCAAGGTGATTCATCGGCTGGGCAAAGAGATCAACAACCCTGAATCTGTTTGCTACTGGGCCTACAAGGTGAGTCCTGGTGCACATCAGACCAGTGATCTGGGAAAAGCTAATTTGCTCACCCAATAGGCAAAGATTTTGGACAAATCATTGTACGTGATGTGGCTCCAAGCCGATGCTGTTACTGAGCAGTGGTCTGGTGTCTGTTTCAGAATAACATCCCAGTGTTCAGCCCTGCCCTGACAGACGGCGCTATCGGAGATCTGTTCTTCCTCTTCTCAAAGGAAAACCCCGGCTTGATAGTGGACATAGTTGAAGGTAAAACAGCCCTCATTGGTGCTTACTTTATTTGTTTCTGTGGTGTTCGTTGGTCTTACATAATGCATTTAATTCCAGATATTTCAAAGTTGAACAACCTGGTATTGGCTGCCAACAGCTCAAGGATAATTGCCCTTGGAGGAGGCGTGGCCAAACACCACATGCAATGCCAATTCCTGGGTGAGTCATTTTTGACCCTGTTGTGTTCAGTTATTTCCATTTTGAATACATTTTGCACACTCCTGCATGCACATAAAAATACGCGCTAATATCAGGCATTCTCCTTTGCTCCCAGCTCAGTTTACTGTATTTAAACACTGCTTTGACTCCCTACAGAGGGACGGAGCTGACTACGCGGCGTACGTGAACACGGCTCAGGAGTTTGATGGTTGTGACTCAGGGGCCAGACCTGATGAAGCCGTGTCCTGGGGCAAGATCAGAGCAGATGCCAAACCTGTGACGGTATCTATCATAGTTTGGATATATTTGGATACTTAAAGGTTGTGTTCGATTTACTCGTGTTAAAGCCTTAGATGTGCACAAAGCCTGTGTTTGGTTTGTCGTTTTAATACACATCTCGTCATTGTGTCTTTCCAGGTGTTCGGAGATGCGAGCATTATCTTCCCCTTATTGCTGGCAGAAACCTTTGCAGTTAATGCTGAGGCGGCTGCTGTGGAGAAGAAAGAATGAAATCAATGCCTTCTCCAATTTCTTTTTTAGCAGAGGCATCAATACTTTTGTTCATTGTCTATCTTTCATTTTTAGAATTTGGGTTTTGTGGGGCCATTTTGCTTTTATTGTTGGAATGCTACTATTGATCTTCGAATCTTTATTCCTCATTTTATATTTCTTCCGTACACTCTTTGCTACTTAACTCCTTCCACATTTTTTAAGCTACAGAAACCGTTCAACCATCAAAATGTTCAGCTCATGGCTGCTATAGCTATCTCTTCATATTTCTAATTTTTAAACTTTTTGAATTATTAAGCTTTTTGCAATTATTATTTTGAATGGGATGTCTATGGAGAACATTTTCAAATCCTCTTAAACTTCTTCAACTTTCAAATCCTTCTACTTCCTCATACTTTCAGCTACAGGCACCATTTCAACATTAAAATGTTGAGAAAACCCTGAGCTATTGCAGAATGATTCAGCTTTTGATATCTTTTACACTTTTTGAACTGCAGCAATTTAACTTTTATGATTTTTTTTTTTCAGCCCTTTTCTGACTTTATAATGGGTGTGTATTGCGCAGCTTAGAGTGCGTGATGTCACTGCTAGAGTGAAGAGCAGCTTGAGATTCTTGTGAAAAAAACATTTGTCTTTTGCCACTGTGTCCACAATCTTCACTCTTCATGCATCATTTTTGATGGAGAAGTAGCTAATGTTGTCCTTGTCGTAGACAGATGTCTGTGGAATCCCACAGATTTACACATTTGGCTCAAGGAGCTGCAGAGCGACATGAACTCCAACAAAATGTTTCTTAATCAGTCTGCCTCTAACACCAGGTGTGTCGTCACCATGGCAACCAGTTAAACACATGCACGCAGTCTCTCTCTCGCTCTTCAAATCCTGTTAAACTTCAACTTTCAAAGCCTTCTTCTTCTCATACTTTCAGCTACAGACACCATAGTTAGACATTTCAACTAGAAGGGTTTTCAGCAGTGCAGTTTAAATGCTTTCGAGCTTCAACATTTTTCAGATAGGTAGTCTCCCATTTCTTAATTTTCAGCAATTTTTTACAATTCATTTCAGCTTTCCAATGCATTTTCAGCAGGAAATGCATTTTCTAGTTAGACACTAACATCTAACACTGATCAGCTGACATTAATCTCTAAAACACATGCTACTCTACCTGTGCTAGCAAGACGCTACAACTTGGTACCTGTTCCTGATTGGTCAGAACCTATCCCTAGAACCTGAAATGGATTGAAGCTATTACTGTTATCTTCAATGCCAGTTCATTTATTGTTGATTTGATTTAAATGCATTAAAATTATCTATTGGAACTTCCTTGCTTTCTAGTAGAATGGATTTAATGCATTGTCAATAAAATCTGTTTGGTAATGCAGTCTGTGTTTATTGCTTCAGTTTATTCTGGGTCTTGTGTATTGAGCATCACCATGGTCAGACATGCAGAAACGTGTGTTGGCTGGTACACAAATGCTCAAAGTCTTCTATAAAATGTAGCCTATAGCAGCTGTGAACTGCCTACCCGGTCACACTGCTTTGCCTGACTCCTTGAATAAAGATCCACATCAGCAGGTCAATCTTTAAGTTCTTTGGTTAAAGGTGCATGGACTGAATAACATCCATGAGAGACAATCTATCAGCAAATTGACAGGTAACATTACTACCTGAAAGAGACCAAGTAAGTGTAGCTCTGTGCTAATGTGAGGAAGCGTAGCCAAGCACAGGTAAGTATTTTTGCATTTTTGACTCCAAAAATGTGTTACTTGTGAACATATATTTCGTTTCAGAAGGATATGCACATGTAGTTGATTTAAAAAGGCTTCCAGGGCAGTACAATAATATGCTATTGTTTTTTTAAATTCTTTTTTGGAGTGGATAGAGAAAGATAGGGGAGTATTTTGGCCTGAATCCCATTCAGATAAATCTCCCTACCCAATCAAAATTACTTTTGGTACTTTTCCTGCACTGCAGACCTTTTTTTATGGAGGTGAACCCACCTATATGTCCCACAGCACTTGTGATGGTGTATTTGTTTGGTTGTTGACACACCTCCATTGGTGCCAGTTTATGTTTTAATTTAAATTACATTATAACATCCAGGCTTGTTTCACAGTTCTGCTAAAGCTGTACTGTATAAATATGTGAGGAAATACAATTTAAAGTGCAGTGTAAAAGAAACTTTGGAAGGCAATCAGTTTGCCTTCCAATGACTGCTTTGTCTCCCTGCAGAGGGACGGGGCTGACAACGTGGTGTATGTGAACACTGCTCCGGAGTTTGATGGTTGTGACTCGGGGGCAATCATTCATGACTAAGTTGTGTCCTTGGGCAATATCAGAGCAGATGCTACATGAAAGTATGTAATATTAAGTATTACAAACTAATATGAAATTGATGTTCTAGTCACTTTTTGATTTGTTAAATAATCTGTGGCCCAATAGATCCTTTATCAAAATCCAATACATTTAATTTTTAAAGAATTACCATCTCTGAGATGCTTCCATCAAACAAACAAAACAAACGTCTAGATTTTTCTGCCATTACGTCAAATGTCGATAATAACCTGAAAGCATGAGCTTGTTAGTGTGAGTGTGTGTGTGTGAGAGAGAGAGAGAGAGAGCTTGTGTTGTAAACCTTCAACTGTAATAAAATAAACATGTATCGACGGGCAAACGGTATTCAACGAGAGACTGTATTTAATGTCACACACAACACCGGAACCGGAAATGGTTCGTCATAATGTTTTGAACTTTGAACAAATAGTTCGCCTTCGCAACCCCGTTCATATTCCTACGTTACATGACATTTGAGTCTTCGTTTGGTTTATATATATAAATCTTCAGGGAAACTTTAGGGTCACCATTTTGTTACACTGACTTGGAGACCAGCGGTTAGCATTGTCAACGGCTGGCTTGTTGTCAATAACGGAACGTTAGCTACTTGAAGCTAACGTTAACCTGCTGTCACAGCTGTAACACTCGTGAAAGTTTGTCTTTTTTTTTCTTTGCAACGAGTGTTTTTTGTATTTTTTTTTTGTCAACAGACATGTCGTAGATAACGTTACTGCTAGAGGAGAGGAGGTGATGATGTCTGAGGAGACAGGGACAAACGGGGACCAGGGTGGACCATCTCCTGACCCCGGGACGTCTCCCAGTATGGAAGCTTCTGGGCGTGACCTGCACGGGTAAGACCGTCTTTCACACTCCACTGATATCATGTCTCACAAGGATATGATATTAATACGTCATTACTATATATTTCTTCCAGTCTTCTGCCTGCTAGTCTCCCATCTTCTGCAGACATCAGCCCCTCACCCTCTGCTGAGGCCAATGGCTTGTTGTCATTACCGTGGGAGCTGGTGACCCACATCGCCTCACACCTTCCTGCTCAGTGTGTCATCACTGTGCTTCCAATGGTCAGTTTTTTATAGATTTTTGGCCCCATCACCTCCCTAAAATTGCTTTTGAAGATGTCTTGTTGGCACATTTTCTTGCTAATTTCTTACTAAATGTCATATCGTTCTCTGTTTCACTGTATATTCCCCCAAAAGTACTAATACCGTCCTCTTCTTTTTAGGTCTGCCATGCATTGGGTAATGTGGGTAAGGACAACACAGCCTGGCAGCTCCGGGCACACAGACTGATGGGATCACGAGCTGGCTTCCCAGTGGGGCCGAGGGAGGACTTTGACTGGCCGTCTGCTTGCCTGGAGATGGAGCAGCTGATAACCTGCTGGACAGGCCAAGCGCAACTCGTGGCGAGACAGACCAAAGATGATGAGGAGGCAAAGGAGCAAGTGGGACTGCGGCAAAGGGCAGGGCAGGATGGGGAGCCCGTTGCAGAAGGACAGGCAGATGGTGGAGAGGATGCAGTAGAAGGGGTGGGAGTGGAAGCGCAGGAGGTCGCGTATGGTGCTGATGAAGGAATGGAGGTGGCGATGGAAGGTGAGGATGATGAAATGCCGCCCATAGTAGGTGGGGACCGACTGGCAAGATTAAGAGAGGAGTTGGGAGAAAGACTGGAGGATGATGCAGCAGCCCTAATGGAAGAAGAAAGGGACCACATGATGGTGTTTGGGGCTAATGAGGGGCAAGTTGGTGCTCTAAATCGCCAAGAGGACTTGGCAAACCTCATGAACCTGGGCAATGGAAGACAAGCAGAGACGGAGCAACCCCAACCCCTCAGAAGTCCTAGCCCACCCGCAGCGCTGGAATGCATCACCCTTCCTTCAGACCACATTGCACCGGTCAACTCAGTCCTCCTTGTGGGGGGAGAGGGGGCGGTTTGTGCCACAGGCTCCAGAGATTGGAATGTCAAACTGTGGGATCTACAGGCAAGCTCTGGTGGCACGCTGCTGCACACATTGGGAGGGCGGGGAAACTTCAGCACTCACCGGGGCTGGGTCTGGTGCCTGGCGTCTCAGGGACCTCTGTTGGCTTCGGGTGGCTTCGACAGCACGGTGAGGCTGTGGGACCTCCAGGCCGGCGGGGCGGAGAGAGGCCTGATCAAGTCTGGGGCTGCTGTCCACTGCTTGTGCTTTCAGACAGATGTGTTGCTGGCTGGTACATTTGACAAGAGGATCAGCATGTATGACACCCGAGGTGAGGGGGGATTAGAATATAGTTTACATCTCAGTTCAGTGGCTGAGTGTGCATGAAGTACAATGAAAGGTCATTAGTTTTGACACATGACATCACTCTAAAGTTAATTTTTGATAGCAGTTTGCCAAATTTGGAAGACAAATCACTTTCTAAAGGGTATTCGTGACATCATTTGTCTACAGCTGCTGAACCGCTGGTGAAAAGCCTCCGTCTGCACGGTAACGCTGTAATGTGCCTCGCTGCAGACGACAAGTACATCATCTCCGGGAGTAAAGACTGCACTGTGGTGGTCTACGACCGGAGGGCAGGCAAGGGCTTGAAGAAAATCCGGGTAAACACACTGACGCGCATGTATTTTTGTGTGCATTCATGCTCAGACGAACCTGACACCCAGACTAACTCCAGCCAACACCTTCTGTTTCTAGCTGGGCTCTTACCTGTTGTCCATGAGCTACAGTGGCTGTGAAGTTTGGGCGGGAGACAACAGCGGCATGCTCCACTCCTTCTCCATGCAGGCGGGGACCTTAAAGCCTCTGTCCCAGTTCGATGTGGGACACACAGCTCTGGTCACCGGCATCCACAGGTCCCCCGGAAGCCTCTACACCTGTTCATCTGATCGTACCCTCAAGGTAGGACGAGGGTTTTTTACTTTGCCTGTTGAACTAACTCTGCTACAGTCTTCTGAAGTTGTGATGTATCGTCTGTATTGCAGGTACATATCCCCTGTGCTCCTCCTAGGACATTATGCACACTGCGTCACCAAGCTGGAGTTAATGGGGTTAGTGCTTTGTACCACCATGTATAGATAATTACAATGTCAATCTGTTGTAACTTTAATTTATAAAAAAAAGATCCATTTTGTATTTAACAAGGCATGTAAAGTGCAAATTAAACTATATTTTTTCTATGTTAATGAACCCTTCTACAGGCTCACTGTCATTTCTGAAATGTTTTTTCCTCCCTGTGTCTCCACTCTACTTCGCCTGTCTGTCTCCAACGGTCAGCTGAGTGCGGAGGCTGGAGTCCTTGCTGTAGCGACGGGGGATGTGAACGTGAATATCTGGAAGCCCAGAAAATGAAAGACCAAGAAACCTGAAGCATTTTGGGAATTTACAACCTGTACACAACACAAAAAAAAGGAAATGTCTCTCTTGCCTTGCAGCCTGTCTGGCTGTGTCAACGTAACAGATGAACTGTGCTGGAAATGAAGGCGAGTCGAGTCCTTTTGTGGTACATATGGCCAAACAAATGCTTTTATTCACTGCACTAACAAACACAAATGCTGTTTTAAATATCCATGTCCAGTTGTTTCATTAAGTTGTGATGCAAAAAGTCATGGTAGAGGTACTGTTTGGGAAGATTCAGGTCACTTGTGTTGGTTCAGCAAAAAGCCCTCAAGCCTTTGTTTTTAATATCTTGTTGAGATATTCCTCTGCAAACAGAAAAAAAACATAATTGAACACAGGAAATATGTTTACTGGTAATGTTTGTCTCATGTCAAGAGACACTGTGTTTGTCTCTCCTCTTTTAATTGTTAAAACAGTGCGGAAACTAGTTTGTAGTATTTACATGCTCGCAAATTCCCTGATCCCGTTACAGCGACTGATATTGTACCAAAAGCATTAGTTACTTTGTGTGTTCAGTAAAATACTTTTACCCTCTGGCACACCGACTGTATCTGTAAAGCTGCTTATTTGAACACTCCTCAGTGCTAATCAATGGGACCTTTTTTGTAGGTACGTGTGTGAGAGTTTGTTTGTTTACTATTTAATTGCTTGGATGAATTTAACTCTGACGCACAATTACTTGACAGATGCATATATTAAAACACATTGAAAGACTTCTTCCACAGAAGAGCGAAGTGAATATTCTGAAAATGTGTCTGATTTATTGGGTGGATGTGTTCACTGCCCCGAGGGGAGTCATGATTGAACAGGTCTGTGCTCAATGTTTGGATAAAGCTGCTATTAATACTACAAATTGTTTACTTGAGTCCTTAGTCAATGTAATGCCTTACTATTGGAAGGTTGAAATCAAACCTTAATTGATTTTGTAATGCAAAACAATTAAGTTATTCCTCACCTATGCCGGGAGCTGTCTTTAAAGTAGATGTAGGAAAAAAAAAAGTGTAATTGTTGGCACTATCTCAGTGGTAGGTAGACGATGAATTGCCGCTCTAGAAGGTTTATATTGTCCACGTTTGACAGGAGAGAATCCGTGTCTGTACTCAGGCAGGAGTGGTCCGTGTGTGCTCGGCTCTTCAGGACTGTCAGAGCAGCACACAGCTCTTCTTATCTTTGAAAGGATTGGACGAGGCAGCGATGCCGGTGAGCAGAGGGTCCTGGCGCCTGTGCTCCTGACAGTACCGGACCAAGTCTGCTGCAGTCAGGGAGATCTGCTGGGACAAAGGGGGACTGGGTAGCATTTCACAGGATGCACGACACTGCATAGAATCATGTAAACCACTATTTGACATTGGATGTTAATAAAGCGTGTCAGTACACTATATTTAAGGAACTGTTATCTTTTTCAAACAACTGATATGTTGTGCTGTTCAGGTATCTGGTGAAGCTGTAGCATACAGATTATTCAAATTCTTACATACCTTTATTCTCTCCGTGCTCGCCTCCACCCGAAGTTGATCCACCAGTTTTTGAGCCTGAATAACACTGTTGCTGCTGCACATCTTTCCTGACATTGCCTTCAGTATAAAGACTCAACAAAAAAAACTGCTATCTGGAGCAGCAGGAAAATGATTTGGAGCAGCAGTTATTTACCCAAATCCCAGAGAGTCAGCTCGTGTTTGTGCAGGAGTCTGAGAGGCAGCTGCCTTTGCTTTCACCTCTGCACCCCGTTTTTATTCACTGTCGGAGGCAGTTCAAAGGCTCCTGTGATATAAAAGGTCATACAGCACAGTGTTGGAAATGTCACAAACATCACACATTACTTCACACAGCCACCACTGATGAAAAGATTATTGGCTGAGGCATTATGCTACATACTTCAGGTGTGCTTTCTGCCTTTAAGCCACAACGTGCGCTTGCTTTTTACAAAAGATGCAGCTGACTTTGCCAAAAAAAGATGTTTCTCAATAATAGAAATGTGGTTGATTGGTAAAAAGAAACGTTATTTGGTTAAATGTGTTTCCATTGTTGCATGCTACTGGAAATATTGTAATTTACTTGAACAGTTAGGTGAAAGCTGCCGTCCATAGTTACTTTGTAGAGTGACATTTTATCTGCCAAACACAAAATGAGCTTGTAAAATGCACTGTTAAAGTTAAAACAGTCAGCTTTATAGAGACTCATTTATGTTGTCCAACTCAATAAGCCATGTACAATAACGTAAAAGTGTAACTGAAACCATTCCTCACACTAAGTAATTGTATGTACTGTATAATTGATATGGTACAATAATCTATCTATCCATATAAATAGTGCAAACTAAGTTTACATATATTTCAAAATAAACACATTCAATTTAATGGAGTAAGTCATTAGTTTTATTCACATTTTGATAAAAGGTTTTATTCAAGTAAAAAGGTACAATTTAAGTACTTATTTCCCTGATTAAGCAAATGCTAAATTAAATGTTTAAGAATCAACTAAATGATATATATACAATTATTTAAGATAAACAAACTGTTTATGAGTATAATTGGAAACTAATAGTGGCCCTAGTGTGTAGTTTTGACTGATGTGCACAGAAATAAAGTTTGGTCGTGTTTGTCCCTTCGCACTTTCCGTAGTGAGAACTTGTGTTTCGCAGGGGAGACGATCAATGCGTTGTTTACAGTAATGCAAGTTGCCGTCCTCGTTGTGTCCGGTGTCAGCCGACTGCTACAAAGCCATCCTCATCATCAACAGACGTCTCTTCAAGAATAAGTATATTTTTCATCTCTATTAATGTTTTTATCCACGACTAAAATCAGCCGATACGACAAAACCAGCGCACAATTAGCTTGTCTGCTAGCTAACAACACACCACATTGCCTGAATAAAGGGTTGAATGAGGATTTCGGTTTTTGATAAATATGCAAATAAATAATCTGAATATGTGTTTCCACTTTGCCATTGTTCGTTAATGTTATTAATTTCAAGCAAAATCTATCGCACAAAGAACAGTTAAAGTGAATCCTTGTCATAAACCGGAAAGCCTCAGACTGGTTAAACTGGATTTAGTTTGAGCCATTAACACACTGCATGCTTTCTCTAAATGCTCTTTATTGATAAGTACCATTGGCTAAAGCTCCTCACCCAGAGCCCTTTTTGAGAGCTGTACGTAGGAATGTTTTGTGAAAAATTGTAATGATGTTGATTTTATAAGATATTATTTATAATGTCCTTTTTCCAGCTGTTCATACATGTCGCTCAGCAGCTTGGAAGCTCAATCAGGGCTCAGTTCTTTAGTTCATGTCAGTCAGCGCTGACTTAGATCACGTCCATTGTCACTTGCTTTGGGCTCTTATGGGCATTTTCTTAAATACTAACCGCATCACGAACATGTTTTCTTTTTTGCTTTTGCAGTAAAGATGGCAGACCATGCGCCGTGTGTTGCCTTGGACGCCGTCCTTAAGCCGAGCTGCGACCTCCCGGAGGACACGCTGAAGATCAGAGGCTACGACTTCAACCAGGGGGTTGATCTCCAGGCAGTGCTGAAGTCCTACATCACCACGGGCTTCCAGGCCAGCAGCTTGGGTTTGGCCATTGAGGAGATCAACCTCATGGTGAGAGGAATTGCTGTGTAGCAAAAGGTTACCTCACAAAAAATTCCATTCACCTCCATTGTTTGGGGGATGTCAACCGACCCTGATGATACAGTATAAATGGCACATATTCAGTAGCCCGTGATCAGTCTGACTGTGATCATTTATAGTGTTGACCATTGTTGTCTAATGTCTCCACACCCACAGATAGAGAAGCGTCTTGAGCCGGTGGAGGAGGATGAAGGGACTGAGGGTATAGCGTTGGATGAACACCGCAGCAAGTCGGGCTGCACCATCTTCTTGGGTTACACCTCAAACCTCATCAGCTCCGGAATCAGAGAGAGCATCCGCTACCTGGTGGAGCACAAAATGGTACAAATGTATAAACTAAATACAGTTACATTCCAGGTAACATCTAAAAACAATCAACCGCTTCAATGGGGAGGCTCGTGTATCAGAATCTGTCTTGTCACTCTGTCTTAGGTGGACGTGGTTGTGACCACAGCTGGAGGCATAGAGGAGGATTTCATCAAGTGTTTGGGTCACACATACTTGGGAGAATTCAGCATGTCTGGCAAGGAGCTCCGCATGAGGGGCATCAACAGGTTGGCAACTACTGATTCAATGCGCCTCTCACATTCACCAAAAGCGGTTGGAGTCCATTGATGAAACTCAAGAAAAACATGACAAGACAAAAACAAAAACAGTGGTCAATCCTGCATTATTTGAATTTGCATCAGGAGGAATGTAAACGGCAGCAACAGAAACTCCAGTGAATTCTCTGGTCCGATACTATGGCTGGTATCTTAACAATGAAAATTTGATATCAGGGAAATGTTGATGTCCATCAACATGTTTGAGCACCAATCATCATCGATGTAAACACACCCATACTACCGTACTGTTTAGTATGCTAGAAAGATATATAGGATATATGTCCTACTGCGTCCAGTCGCAATTTGCGGTATGCAAGCCAGCTTGCTTTTGCAGGGTTTTGTAGGGTTTTGTCAGCCAGGTACTCCTCTTTAGAAGTCCCAGCTTATGTGTCAGATTCTCTAATTTGTTTATTTATGTCTGGTCCAATTGTTGATCCCCTTCATCTCTCCCTCCTCGTCTGTGCTGGCTGGATGTAGGATAGGAAATCTGTTGGTGCCCAATGACAACTACTGTAAGTTTGAAGACTGGGTGATGCCCATCCTGGACCAGATGGTGTTGGAGCAGAACACAGAGGTGAGTCTCTCATGGTAGTAGGGCCGTCCTCGACCAAAGAAGTTCTGAGACGACTAACACTTGTACGGTTTTGTCAACTAATTGATTACATGATTACATTTGCATGTAACCCGTCCTGAGCATTAGGATCATTGCTCATTCGAATATTGTTAGTCCTCACATAAAACATGTGTTCCACAAAGTTGTGCAGTCGGGATGTTGCAATCGTGTAACATTTGACTTTTCTTATTTCAGGGCACCCGTTGGACTCCCTCCAAAATGATCCATCGGCTTGGCAAGGAGATCAATAATCCTGACTCTGTCTACTACTGGGCCTACAAGGTGAGTCCTGCTTTACATTGGTAACGTGTTATATCATAAGGGACCCCAAAAGTCACGACACAAAATTAAACTGTTAATTGTACTCGTTACTCACTTCATCCAGCTTCCCAGACTCTGCTTAGTTTGTACGTACAGTGTGTTCTTGTCTATACGTCAGTCATTAAACGTGCTGTACTTTATTATTATTATTATTATTATTATCTGCTTCAGAATAACATTCCAGTGTTCAGTCCTGCTCTGACGGACGGCTCTCTGGGTGACATGATCTACTTCCACTCTTATAAGAACCCGGGCCTGGTGTTGGACATAGTGGAAGGTAAAAGCGACATCGCTGCTACAGAACAGGATCCCCACATCTGTCTCAGTGATAGCCGTCGGTCATTTCACGAATGTGGACTTTATTTCAGATATTCGCAGGATTAACAGCCAGGCGGTGTTTGCCAAAAGGACGGGAATGATCATCCTTGGAGCCGGGGTGGTCAAACACCACATATGCAACGCTAATCTTATGGTAACTACGAGATCTTTGTTTTTGATCTTTATCATCGTGACATCAGCTTTATATACAATTTCACATGTAAATCATATCATGAGCTTTTAAAATAAGTTTCATTGTTAGAAAAAAAGTTAAAATGAGTTCCTCGTCCAACAATAACCAACAAGGTTTTTCTTTTTATGAGAACTTTTACTTTGATAATATAAGCACATTTGTAAGTGACTTTTTCAATGCAGGACTTTTAATTGTAATGGAGTCATTTTTTTACAGCAGTATTGCTACTTTTACTCAGTTAAAGTATCTGAATACGTGGACATTTTGTGTGAAATTGTGCCAAACTATGATAAAGTTTAGAAAAATATTGTTGTCTACTGTCAAAATACCCGAGGTAGCAAAGCAAACCTCAAAAACCAGTTCCCCTCCCGACCCACTGGCTCTGCCCTGTCTCCTTGCAGAGGAACGGAGCTGACCATGCGGTTTTTGTGAACACGGGTCAGGAGTTTGATGGCTCTGACTCTGGGGCCAGACCTGACGAGGCCATATCCTGGGGCAAGATTAAAATGGATGCCAAACCTGTGAAGGTACCGATATTCATACCATGAGTATTAGCCACCGTCAGACCAACATAACGTTCCATTTATTACAATTTTATGTTATATTTTGAGACTTCTTCTCTTCTTCTACTCCACTTAATTGAATATATTTCCTATTTGCCTTTTAGCAGCACCTTGATACTGCAACTAAACTGTTTTCAGATTTTTATTTGCGCTTAAACAGTGTTTGGCTGACAACAAACAATTCCTGTTGATGTTTTAGTTGAAAAATCATCAGATTTTCAGTCAGTAACTGTTCATATATCATGCTTTACGAATAGGCACAGCATCTATGATGACTATCTATGACGAGTGGCTTTTACCTCCATTCACATACAACCTACAGCAGACGAAGAGCTTTTATTTTTTTGCTTTTTATTTGACATTGTTTTCTATTTGAATACATTTTATGTGGTTGGAAATCATGTTATAGCACATCAGAAGTGATTACCAGGCAAATAAGCTGAGCAATAGTTTGCTGGATCTAACACGTTTGGCCTCAAGGTGGCAGTGTTTGCACAGTGTTTGATCCAAGCGCATAGTGTGGCGTCAAAGCACCAAAACACAAATGTGAACTGGAATCAGTTTAGTGTAATAAGTGTGTAACGCACCACAAACATAACGTTACAGAGAACTGCTCTGCTCTTTGTTCCCAGGTGTATGCAGATGTCTCTTTAGTCTTCCCTCTGATTGTGGCCCAGACCTTCGCTCTCCACGCTGACAAGCTGACTGCCGGCAAGAAGACAGATTAAATGGTTTAGAAGCTGTGATTTATTTCAGATAAGCTGGGGCATGGCACACCATCACATCACTTGTATATTACTTCCCAGTTTTTTTTGTCACATTTACACAGGATGGAAGCCGTCTGAATATCTTAATAAATCATAAATGAATAATGTCTCCCTATTACAGACGGTCTTTGTGCAGGAGGTCTGTGTGAGAGTGCCACAAGGGCTCCAGCATGTGACTCTTAATTTCACATGACTGTGTTTGTGATCTTTGTTTAAAAAAAAACAAAAAAAAACGCATCACAGAGCACACAAGACATAAGTGATCATCTATCATGAAATATTATATTTTGAGTATCTAATGAAGTTCACAGCTCCTCAGTTGCATTAGGAGGATACAAACTGCAGAAAGTGTTGCTGTTGTTGACCAGCCCTTGTTTATTAACGGCGGTGTTTTTAGTGACATATGAGGGGGCAGACTATTATAGAGTAAGAGCATCACAACTGCTGCGTGTGCGGTTAGTGATCACTCGGTGGGTTGGACTCTCAGCTCCTTCCCGCTCTGCTTTCTTCAACAGAATCAAAATGCATAATGTAGTATAACGATGAAGCCATTTCCCATCACAATCATCAGGCTGCTATTGTGGGAGTGGATATTTCCTCTGGCTAATCACTGCTCCCATATCTGTTACACACAGTCACTGTTACAGTTTCAACCCAGTTATATTTGCAGGATTTGCAATGGAATTGTGGGTAGTTTTTGTGTGAAATGTGTTTGTGTCTTTGTCTTTTTCTTTTTTTTGTGGGAATGGTGACCTTTTCATTTTTGGAAACGGAGAAGTGGAATTGGAACTGGGATAAGGTCAACTTTCCCAAAACCTCAGCCCCATGTGTCACACCGCGCGCACACGCACACACACGCGCGCGCGATTTGGGCGTTCCTGTCTTGGTACAAACGGCTTTTCCATTCAGTCCATCTAACATTTCCTATTGGCGGTGGCACTGTGTTGACCCAGGGCTTGACAGATTTCTTTAACAAGGCAATGATGTATGGATTCTCAGCACTATAGAAACTTATGTTTGCTCTGTGCTAAATGGAAAGATTACACAGATACTGAGAGGGCTGAAAAGAGTGAGATTGTGTGTGTGGATGTAATCTGTAGTCACGCTATAATAATATTGTGTGGCGTCTGCACAGACCAGACAGTGTTTTCCCCCTCTGCAGAACAATCAGTACACTGTGTGATGTGCAGGGCCACAGCAGTTATAATGGCAATTATGTCTTCTCTCGGCCAGATTGGCGGCTTTTTTTAAATTTTTTTATGGATAGAGATAGGGAGTGAGGAAGAAGAAGAAGAAGAAGAAGACAGAGGGGGAGCTGACCTGCTGGACAGCTGCAGGGCGGGGTGGATCTGTGAGGAGTGGAGGGACGAGAAAGGAAATACACAGTGATTTGTTCACATTTGCATATCTATCAATGTGTGTATGCAAGACCATAATTTCCACCCAGGTTTATTGTTTCAGGATTTCTTTTTTTCTTAGAAGTCATAATGTTCAGTCACCTTATTCCAGATAACAGAGAAGAAGTGCTGATAAAAGTATTGGTTTTATTCTGAGTCGCCTTCAGTTATTTCCTTATGCAGATTGCAGACTTGTTTGCCCTGGCTTTTGCCTCTCAGGCTGCGAACAGTCTGCTCCATCTTATTGGTGAATCACTCCCCATTTACTATGAAGTGCACAGCATTTTCTGTCCACCACTTTACTTAAGTCAGAATTTCCCTCAAAAAAATACTCAAAGGAACAAAAAAAAATTGTGTTCATGGCATGGACTTTCTGCTGTCAACCCCACAATGCAATGTTTCTCATTTTACAGAAGATGTATCTCTATCAGTAATGATGAAACCTGAATTTACTGCTCACTATTGAGCAAACTATTGCGTGATTATAGTGAATGAGCGAACAAGAGGGTGAGTTAAGACACTGTCAAGTTTGTTGGGGCTGTGTGCAGCCTGAACAGAATACCTGCAGACTCAGAGCTGGAAAGAAGTAGTGCAAACAGCTCTTTTCGGGTAAAAATTAATGCAATCTATATTTCTGTGGTTAATATTCTCTTAAAAATATGCATTGGTCAACAGTAAACCGCAGTGATTATCGACTTTTATCAGGCATTAAAAAAAGCCAAGACGGCAGCATAAAAAGTTTCACATAAAAGAGTAAACGGACTAAAAAAGCACAAAAGATCGAACAAACAACTTAAGAAATTTCACAAAACATAAATAATTAACAGACTAAAGACAAACAGCATGAACAGCACTACATTCAACAATAAATTAACTGTGTCCAGTAACAGGACACATGCGTTCAGTGGTCAAATAGTTTTTGTAAAAACATTGAAATAACATTTTTGAAGTACAGGGTTAGTGCAACAAGAATAAAAACATCTATAAATTGCCCATAAATGCTTTATTTAAAATACATATATATATATATATATATATGTTTTTGTACTTCTGAAACCAAACCTATGGCCTTGTGCTTGTGCATCGTCCTGCCTCCTTATCTCCACCTCTGTTTACCTGTTATGTTGCCTTAGAAACTCCCTCCCCGGAAGCTTATTGGCCAACCAGCAGAGGTAAAGCGGCAGGTGAGAGAGCGCGTGGGTGGGGACGAGGGAGGAAGAAAGACAAACATCCAGACGTATACAGGGACAACAATAGAGCAATAAATCTATAGAAGGCGAGTAAAGACGTTGATAAATACAAGATAGAGAGATGGAGAGATAAAGGGCGGATTACTTTTTATCCTCGCGCTCCTTTTCTCAGAAACAGGAAGTCGCCAGTTGAACCGCCGTCTCCTCCTCTGACGCAGCCGATGACGGCCGTGCCACTGTTGCTATTGCAACCACCCGGCAGGGGGACAAACATCCGGATGTGCTGCTTACTCATCAAATCTGTTAACGGCCTAATTGTAGTTTAACCACAACGCATTATCGCTGGTTCACCACGGTGACCGGTAAACAAAGAGGATGCACGGTGACGGGTATCCCTTCACCTGTCTGACGGTATAGACACTAAATAAACCTTGTGGAGTCCGTCTCTTTATACACTCAACGTGTTGTATTTATGTTGGATACAGTATAAACTACTATAGACGAGCTGAGGAAAATAGTTTACCAGTAATACACTGATGTGGGGTTTTCACACAGTATCTCATTTATGTCTGTAATCATAAAGACATTTTTTTTAAACTTAATTGTTCAAATTTTCAGTGATTTGCAGGCACAGACTTTCAATAAAGACAAAACTGTATATAGTATATAGTTGTAGTTTTTAGCATAACTTTTTCTGTGACATGTATTTTAGCTTGCTGGCAGATTTACACTTTGTTAAATTGACAAAATGAGAAGTCAGACTTATAGCTGAGTTTATATGCATGTAGGGTAACAATATAAAGCTGCACAACAAAAATGAACTGAAATCTACCTGAACTCCTGAGGGTTTAATACACAAAGTGTAAACAGTGGCAAAGATGAAGCTAAAGTCACAACAGATGAAGGAACAATAACATTTTCACATATCTTATAGGTTTTCTTTAAAGGAAATGATTGATGGGTTTTTTCGGCATGTGTAATCATGTAAATATGTCTTAACATATCCGGACATTACAAGATACAGATAACATGGACATGTAACTTGATTATTGTCTGTCGGTTTTCTTGTTTTTCTATCTGTTGTCATCTCTCAAAGATTTTCCGCTATGCAAATGTGTGGTAAAAGGCCCTGACTGTGCAGAGTTCATAAGAGGTAAAATGTTAATGTTGCATAATTGTACTGTGACCAAACTAAAGCAACACACCGTGGAATTTGATTTTTACCATAAAAATGTAGGTCAGGTATGGGCGTCCAGGTGCCATGATGAGAGAATTCAGACTTTTGTTCCACCAACTTATGAAGACGAGCTGAGAGGAGGAACTGTTTGTCGGTGAAATTTGCTGGTGTAATGTTTGTCTGGAATGAAAACCAGCATTTGAGAAAGCTACAGGGTGAAAATGATTGTTTTTTTAGATATTGTGTTTGTGATGTAAGATTTATGCTTGAAAAAATACAGGACACAAAGAGTATACTGCTTTTTTCAAATACGTTTAATTTGAATCAAACTTAATGCACACCATATCAACCAGCCATCATATTTATTTGACACATTTTGGTTTGAAAAACAAAGGAACATATGAAGAAACAGTAGCTTTGTTCCTCTTGTATTTAGTTTTTTCTTTTAGAAATATGGGACCAACAAGAGACAAACAGAAATGACACACAAAAATACATACACATACAAATATAAATGTTGAAGCAGACCGTATCAAGACTCATTTTATTACAAGCATTTCAACATCACTTTCATATTGATTTTTGATTAAAGTAACTTATATGGTTTTATGAAAATTGAAGATTTTAATGGTCTGTAAATGCAATAAGAGATCAGGCATAAATCCAAGTAAAGTGTTTCATTACAGAACGTGAGTGTGTACATCTGTTGAGGAAAATCTGTTGCAACTAGGAATTCAGTGAGACAAATGACTTCAACAGAAACTAAAATGATGTTTCGTAATTGTCAGTCATTTCAAAGTACATTTATTTAAAAATCCACGTACACATCCAGACTGTAAAGCAATATCACATGCTACAGGCTTATAGTGGGATTAAAGTGTGCTCTGTGCGTGTGTGTGTGTGTGTGTGTGTGTACGTGGAAAGGAGACCAGTCCCCTGTTCCTGCTGAACTGAGCCAGCCAACGTCACACACTGATTATCAGCACAGCAGGCACAGGAGACTAACCCAGCAGGGGGAGGGGGGGAGACAGAGGTGACTATATGCACACACATATATACAGAAAAGAAAGACAAACAGACACTGAAGCTCATGCAGAAATCAACAGGTGGAGCATGAACGAAAAATTAACTCACACAAAGTTACACACACACACACACACACACTGAAAGACCCTGGCAGCCGGCGATACAAATGACGACATGAGAGGAGATGTTGCTCGCCCTACAGGAACAGGAGCAGTCTTCGACGCTAATGAGACAGCTGACATTTAGCAGACACTGACACACTGAAGCTGCACAGTTTCAGCTAATTACACCGATTACCAGTTTTTACCAGAAGCTTATGGACAGTGATAACTGCTCCCACAGCCCTTTTGACCACAGTGCATCATTTCTACGCTTTCACAGCACAATAGTAGGTCATGCGTGAAACGCACACGTACTTGGCCACACATGTCGTCGACTTTTTTATCCGTTTTCACAGCAGAGGTGATTCGGTGTGAGTCTGACTGTGGTGGGCCCACACAAAGAGAGTCTAAGAGTCAAATTAAGCGAATGAGAAGCCCCATGTTTTTGCCTCTGTATGAACAGACTGATTTGAAAGAGGAAGTGTGTTTGGATACAACATTTTCACACTTAAACTGGAGTTGAGCTGCACTATATAGTCAAGTTTTTATCTAAATTTAGCCCAAATTTAAACCAAATTTCCAGAAAATCTGCAAAAAGAATTGGAAATTCATGTTGGCTTTTATCCACTACTGTTATTCGAAAATCAGGAGTTGTCGACGTCGAGTTAAAGAGCTAGTTAGCAGCCATTAAACCATTGTAGGAGAAGAGGGTGCAACAAGATGAGCTTCTTAGTAAAGTGCCAATCAAACCTCAAACTAATTAAATGAAGCGTCGCAGAAATTTGCGTTTATTTCATGTATTGATTTCAGGAAGGTTTCAGTCTTTTCATTGACGCTCATAAAGACATGTAGATAAAGACACTTTTTTTTTTATCAAAGTGAGTTTCACATTTTCAGCTCGTCTGAAGTCTGGTGCTGATGTGAGGAGCGGTGGTTTGAAGCAGTCCGGCCCCTCCCTGAAACTTTACTCTCCCCCTGCGGGCTGCAGCCCTGTGGCGGCAGAACTTAACCACTGTGAACATGGCAGACACTCACTGCTCACATGTGGGTTAAGTCCTGCTGCCGCACGGCCAGCAGGTCGTGCGTATGCAAATTAGAAAACATGGGTGTGGCTGTGTGTGAGTTAGCAAATTAGTCCGTGTTTCTGAGAAAGAGGTCGCTTTCTTCATGTCAGCCATTGGAAATCCCTGGCAATGTGATTCAGTCCTTTAGTCTCAAAAATCACTCTACCAGGAATTCCCCTGGCCATCAGAGATGACTATCATTTTGTGGTGAGAGGAGGAATTGAAAGCATGTACGAAACAAATAATAAACACCATAATAGGCCTCTTCCATCATTGTCACCTCTAATACTTAACGTTAGAAGACCTATCCCTCATCTATACCTCTGTGTGAAAGAGTGAGTTATCACAGTAGTCCAATGTGCTCGGTCTTTGTCATTGACAGGTCGTAGTCATTGCGCTTTCTCAGCCCTGGTATGTACTGTATGCACGTGGTTCGTCAACTCCCAGACTTCCGGTGGCCTCTTGTAAAAATAACTTTTCAATGACAGAATGGAGAATTAGGCTAGAAGGAAGTGGCCAGTCATGTGGCACTCCCTTTAAAGACATTTGCGCCCGCTCTGTTCTACTTCTGGCCCTTTATCTGTGCCCCTTCTGTGGAAAGAAAAAAGGCCGGAGAGCACTGGGCCGTGTTTCCGTTGCTGCTAAGCTACTGCTAAATCCCCTCAGAAATTGTCAGGAATGTTCATTAAAGAACACTGTATTTATATGTTATTGCTTTATTACTGCCTGTCGAATGATACCTGATATCAACAAGCACATCAACTCATCACCCCTGGAGCAGCACTTAATACTCCGGATTCCTTTTTGTTGAAATTTACCTGTCTGGACAGGACATATTAGGATCCAGAATGAATGCTATTTTGCCACCCTCTTCAAGTCTCTTTATTTTCAGCAGCATGAATAGTCCACCATGCACAAGGTATGAGTCAGTGGGACACTTTTGGGGAACTCCAGACTCCAAATAAGTTTTAGCCGGCTGTCTGCTGTCACTGAGGGTCTGCTGCAGAGCTGTACGAGGGGCGCAGGGAACTTAGACGCCATCACTTCAGGTCAGAGAGTGAGTTTGGTGAGTGTCCCAAAATAGTACGAAAGTCTCTTCCAGAAAGCTGGATATTTTAAATACCACTCAACAAAGCAACTTGTATTCCAATTTCTAAGTAGCGAGCCTAAAACTCAGTGCTGAACCACAGTACAGATGCTTTCTGGTTTCCTCCAGGCCAATGTTCCCTCTCACAGTCTGTGGTCCAATCAGCCAATAACACCAAATTATAACCGCTCAGAACACACTGTGATTTTGTAGCTACTGGGAAGAAAAAAAACAGCGTTTTTCTCCGTCTGCTTTCTCTTAAAACTTTGTGAACGTCTCTCTTTTACGCTCAGATTACAGTACAAGAAGCATTTTTAAGGCTCCAGATAGATTAGCGTAATTTGAGGGCCAGGTTATTAAATGTCACTCAATTCATGGAAAACTAAAATATCTACATAAAAGTGGATATTTGCACGTTTTGTGTTTCGTTTTAGTCTCCACATGTTTACAATAAAACGTACCGTCTCAAGAGAGAAGGTCATTTAAGGTCCCGGCACCCATCAAAGACAGTCCACTAACTCCTTTTTAACTCTCCTCCTCCATCAACCTAAAACCCTCGATCCCCGCCATCCTTTCATCCGGCAGTGGCTGTGTTATTTTCTCTGCCTTTTCATCTTTTCCATCGGTTTCTCTCTTCCCCTTTGCGTTCCCCCCGTCGAACCCGCAGCCGTTAATGTCTATGAGCTCATTCCTTCCCTTCCCCTGTAATGATGGCGCTCTGGTTGACGCACGCTGTCCAACACCTCACCTCAAACGCTCGCTGTCAGGATCTCAACGTGTCTCACTTCTGCATTTTGGCCTGTCTTGCTTCTTGAGCGCTATGGTGCAGGAGCCAGGCAATCCTGTTGTTATGTTCTTCTCAAATTGGATGTTTATTATGGTTAGGAATAATCATAAGGTTCTGCCATGTGGGCTGAGACCTATTGGCAGCTCATAATTGTGCCAACGTGTTGCGTCCTGATGGAGGCGTAGAATAGGAAAATTAGTGTCACTGGGTGACGATCGGCAGCAGATGTGCCCCAGTAGAGTCAAAATGTTTGTAGTGAGTGTCTTCATAGCTTGCAGCCTTGCGTGCGGGTGCTTTGATGGTTTTAGGGAGTACACTCTACGCTATGTGTGTGTGTTCTAAGTTTATATTTGTGCACGCGACGTATGGAGGCCCGAGTGTAGACGTGGCCACTGGCTGTTTTCTCAAACCATCTCTCCCCTTCTGCCAGAGCGCAGAATTGACATTGCCGTTTACACAAGGGCACACAGTTAAGTGGAAAAGCCTCTGTTGAGACAGCTGGATCTCAACCCCTTGTTGTTTCATCACATATCTTCTCTCTCCTTATGCCCTCATGTGTACACACACACACACACGCACACACATTAAGAAATGCACACATCCTCACAGGCAACGCAAATTGCCTTTCCGCACATAATATGCTCACTATCAATGAACAAACACGGTTATGTCAGCGGGCTGCCGGGCAAACATGGCATGTGTGTTAGCCGCGTTCTCACTGTCTGTTAACCAGGAATAGTACAAAAACATACCGATCTGACATCATTCACACCTCCAGGCTGTGAGGCGCTTCACAGAGCAAACAGTGAGTGGGGTGACCCACAGGCCGACTGTATGCTGCTATTGTGCACTTAATTAATAATTAGGTATCAAGCTAAAGCCTGCCTAATAGTTGTATCTTTCCACTGCATCGGAGAATTTTACAGAGAGCAGTTTGTTTCCAACCCCAGCCTCATGTGAATTCAATCTATCTAGGTCTAATGGTTCAAGACATTATGTCAACATCAGAGCACAAGGGTTATAATAATCCCTTTTTAAAAGAGTAAATATGCCACATTTGCTTTTCTTGATTGCTGTCGTATCCATTACACCTCTGACACAGCAGAAAGTGTCCCATCATTTCCTCTGCAATGTTTTCAGTCAGATGCATGGATTCTTATTTTACTGGAAAAAAACTAACAACTGCAAGGAGATTACAGAAGACATCCCGCCAACTTAAACCTGAACTCACACACCTTACAGCACAGCAGCACCACACCCTCTGTTCCAGACAGACTGTGTGTCTGGGTACGTGTGTGCATGTGAGTAAGATTGTATTTGTTTCGTGTTGCGTGTGAGGGCTTCATTATTGCTGAGGCTGTGACATTCAGTGACATTCAAACAGGGACTCGCGCACTACTATGGGCCCTCTCTGTTGCAGTTCTCCTCAATCAAAAAAGGGGAGCGTTCATTGGCTGGCCTGGAATCAACACAACACACCACATGTGACACATTAGTGTCTGAGAATTAAAAAAAAGTATTTCCAGCTCCAGATTAAAAAAAAAAAAAAAAAAAAAAAAAGGAGAGAAAAGTCTCTTCGTGCTGTAAAGCTCAGCAGTGAAGAACCCAGCCCGAGCCCGTAGTCCGCTCCCTGTAACCCTATCCTCAGCTTGATCCGTTGCCAAACACCCTCACCACCACCAGCCCTGTACTTAGTGTGCAGCCGCCCTGCTGCCACTGAACCACATTTGCACAAATTGATGCAGAAACTGCACACACACACACACACACACACACACACACACACACACACACTTTTATTCCACTACGCCACGGTTTCCTGAGCCTGGGCCCATTCCTACGTATATCTGCTGGGCACACCCACCCACCCACTCAGCCAGCCAGCCCACTAAAGCCAAGGCTTGAGTTCTGGATCCCCACTTTCTCTCCCCCTTCAGCTCCTTCTATTCCCTCTTTCCTCAACCTATTCCTCCCTCCATGCATCCATTTGGCCTTCCCTGGCCGGCGCTCCAATCCAATGATTCCTCATTAAAAAAGGCAGGATAACGATAATTACCTCTCCCTCCTCTTTCCCATATTTTATGGCGGAGAGGTTATCAGAAGTCACAGTCAGTCACAGACAGAGCAAAGCAACAGATCCCTCGCTTGGACTAACTCACTCTTGTCTTTCAATCTGTGCTTCAGCATCATGTTAATCTCCTTCAGCTCCACTTTCGACCTCAGTCCCAGAGGGGAACCAGACAGGACGGCGGACAGGAAGACAGAGACAGCCGGCCCTGAGCTGTTGCTAAAACTGTGTTAGCTACAGTAGCCGCTGGATTCCCTTCCTTTCATGGAGGTTTGGGAGCTCGCTGACTTACAGGGCCTCTGAACAATGAGAGGAATGTTAGAGCGGCTCCGGCCTTACTTCACAACTAACATTGCGTCTCTCGGGTGCTTTTCTAGAACTTTTTATGACCTCTGTTCCCACTCTGTGCTGCCAACAACACCCCGCAGAGAGGCACACAGACTGATGGACATGTAGACAGACAGAGGACACACATGTGGTAGACGGATGACATACATACTGTAAGCAGACAGTTGCAAAGAAAAGGCAGACAAACAGGTAGAGGCACACTTATTATGCAGTAATTAATTCCGACGGTTGGAGATATTATCAATCAAACAGACAGACAGACAGACAGACAGACAGAAATTAAGCCATCCCATTCAAAGGAACTATTTACGTCTGACCTTTGTAATGGAGCCGGTCCACAGTGGCAGACCTCAGATCAGGGCAATATTCCAGTGGCAACATTTTAGTACATTTGAACAGCAGGCACACTTCACTGTCGCTCCACGTGAATAACTGTCCTGTTGCAGGAATTGCTGTGAAGTGAGTGTGAAGTGCCTCTCTGTGGAAGACCAATGGTTCGAGACAAAAAAAATAAAAAAGTCAAACTAAAGCGTACAGGTTTGCTGGGTCATAGAGTCATAAAACAGTAAAAAGGCAACAATCAACTTCTGAGCAGAGGCAGAGGCTGCACCTACCTGACACAACCGTTTTTACTCCTTTCTTCAGTTCCTCTCTCCTCACGATCTCCAGTGTCACGCTCTTTAGTTGAACTTCACAGTTGTCGTCCCTCCTCTCCCTCCTCCCTCTATCTCTGTTTTTGTCTGTGTCTCCCACTCTCCATCTCGTGGGTCTGTTTCTCCCTCGACTGTGCAGACAGGAGTGTGTGTGAACGCGAGTGTGTCTGGGAGCCAGACAGGGTGAGAGTAAGAGAGGAGGAGGCGGGCCCAACCCAGAGCAGGGGATTCCTTCATGACGATGTCAGAGGACAGGATCCCTCCCCTCGCCTCTCCTCCCTTGTGCACAGTCTAGGCTGCTGCGAGAACACAGGAAAGGGGGCAGGGAGATAATTGGCTGCACAGCTGCTAATAAATGAGCAAAGGCTGTTTGAGTCGATAGCAGGCAGGAAAACCGGGCTAAATGTGCAGTGTTTCTGTGTCAAAACGTCCTGAGAAAGTTTGTTAAGCTGTCTTGTGTGTTGAAGAAGTTCTGTGGAGAGATAGTGGAGATAGTGATACTTTCTCTATTTGTCTGACAATGATAGGAATGAACACATTTATCCTTAAGACACTTTGAATAGAACATGCTCTCAATACTATTTTGCAAGCTGGTTTTGCTCGAATCCAAGAATGTACATTTGTGTGAGCATCATATATGCGTGAGATAATGATTTGCGTAACAATGTTCAAAGCACTTTTCAAAGAATTGAATCGAGAAAATTGTCACAAAAGGCCAATAGGACATTTAAGATGGTTAACAAGGCCAGAAACAATAACAGGAAGTCTCTAAGTTGAGCATTAAGAAGTGATTTGAAAGATGGCACAGGTTTAGCTAAAGTTAATTAAAATCTGCGGATCTTGTTTTGAATTCAAATGTGAAAAATAAATTGATAATTTGACACTATACACATATGCCGAGATAGTGTCTGATAAAGTTGTAACCGTATCCCTTATGAATGTTTATGCTAAGGTTGGTTTGTCGTGGTCTTGTTTATTTTTTTTGGTGAAACTTTAAACAGTTTTTTTTATTGCGAGAGAGACTTTAACTGGGGCAGGAGTGCAGGATCTTAGTTATATAAACATTTTTCCAGATCACTTAAAGCTAGATTCTATTTAGATAAGGACATCATGAGAGAGGTCAACGGTTATGAGTCAACAGATGTGCTTTACAGAATACATTTGAGGGAGCTGTAGTTAGCATGACACTCATTCTGGGGACATCAAGGACTTTGTCATATCAACAGAAAGTCTTCTTCCCTGTATTTTACGGATGAAGAAAATATAAATCAACACTAATTGTCATTTCATTCACTTGTCAAGCGAAGTCTTGAAATGTCACAAAAAAGAAATGCAAATTGACATCAACTGGTTCAGAGCGAATTAACTCAGCTACGGTGTAGTTTGGTCAGAAGTTGGTGAATATCGGCCTGCACGGCTGTAATCCACCATTAACAGAGGGGAAGTAGATGTAGAGGTTGCAGACGGGACACAATACAAGTCGGCCCGATCAGTCATGTTAGTTCATTCTTACAGAAATCTCCTTATTGGTTTTAGGCAATAAACCTACTTGGTTAAGTTTAGGAGAAGATCATGGTCGGGGTTGTAATTAAGGCAACTTTTCCAATGTGTGTGAAGTGTTTGCTACATCACAATTTATTTTGCAAAAGCGTTTCCATAATCCACTTCACATATCTTCTAGGAAAAGACCACTTCAAGCGTAAAAGCCTTTCCGCAATTAAGGAAGTTTTATCAGATTTAGCTGTTTCCATACAGCTTTTAGTGAGATACTTTAAAATATGTATAAAAATATGTGAATGGAAACACGGCTTCTAATGACTTACTGTACATCTCCCAGTAGTAATGGTGGCTTCACGAAGAACACAGCAGAAACGTATGTACTTTACATCACAGTGATTGCAACTTCAGATCGGGGTAAGGCCGTTGTGTTTGTGTGTGAGGGGCTTGTGTCCAAGCTTGGTTTGATCTGCACCTGTCAAGCATAGGACCCCCCCCCCCCCACACCTACATACACTCCCCTTCCCCACAGAGAGACAGTAACACGAGCTTCAGAGAGGGGCTATTAGAGGCTTTATGACTTCCCCTTCCTTCCCTGTAGCCTTTGGGTGTGTGTGTGTGTGTGTGTGAGTGAGCGGCAAAGTCTCACACAGACAACCACGCCCCTGTGAGGGAACGGACGTCACACATTCCACACACACACACTCACACACACACACACACACACACACACACGCACACACTGTATTTGTCTCTTAGCAACGCATACACTCAAGCTTAGTGAAATGACTATGCCAGTAAGACACATGACCGCGATACATCGTTTATCTTCAGATCAGATGGGATAATGTTTTGTTTTTGAACCTCGGTTTCTACGTTGTCTCCAGAGGGGATTCACAACATTTCATAACAGCAGGAGTTAAATGAATTGTAATGAATACAGTTCATTTTTGATTATTAGTTAGCAAAGATTACTGAGTGAACTTGGTTATAATGGAGTGAAGTAGAGCTTCACAAATGTCCCACTCTGCCTCTTTATGTGTGTATATCTGTAATATATATGTGTTCATATCATGTAAAAGGTCAAAGGGAGACTTAGTCAAATTAGTTAAATAGCCTTAAGACAGAGTTAGAATATGCGATGAAGTTTCCATCTCATTTCTGTGGTCTAAACCTCAATGCGTGTCGTGCACACTCCCCTCTTATTTGGCCTCACCAAGACGACAATTAGCTTAGCCGCACGCGACACTAGCACTGTAATGACTGAGATGGTGCAAAGACGCTCCCAAAAGCTACTCATCACAAGACACGAGACAACTTTCAGTTTCGACCATTTCTTTCAGCCTGTGTGACATATAATCCAAATCAACTAGGTATGAAACCGTAAAAAAAGGAGGCCATATCTTCCTACCTTTCCACAATTGCCAACTCTTATGTGCAATGTTCTGCAATCACTCCTGCTAGCAGTGAGGGTTGTGGCTTTTGGAAAATGGTGCTGAGAGAGAGTTCAATGCGTCCTATTGTCCTATATTCTCCGTCTTATGGTTCTGTGAAACATTATCAGCTCTGTGGAAAGTGTAGTCATACGCAGGCATGGTCGTAAATGTTCCCACTGTGTGTGTGTGTACGTGCGTGCGTGTGTGCGTGTGTGTTTCGACTGATTCCAATCCTTTTTAAGATAACAGGCAGATGTATCTATAGCAGTGTGTGTGTGTGTGTGCGTGTGCATTCGTTTGATAAAGAAGTCATTGACCTCTAAGGTCACTGTGGAGTGCAGATCATGAGCTCCAGTGGGTGAGTTTGTAGAGTCATGTTGGAAGTGTGTCATCTTTAATTAATGGTTCAGTGAGAAACATGCTCCATAGTATGTGCTGTTGTTTTACATTAGAGGTGAAAGTACGGACCTGTGTGTGTGTGTGTGTGTGTGTGTTTTGTATGTGTGTGTGTATATGTGTGGACAATGCCTATTTGCATATGCATATGTTTTTCAGTATTTTACCTTATTTGTGCATGTATTCAGTGCATATTTTTATATATAAATGTGTCCAACAGCGTGTACTGGTTGTGTAGATGTGTGCGTCAACGGCTCACGGGACGTTCGACTGAGTGACCATCTCAGACAGTGAGTCAGACGGCTGTAAGCGACTCTAATCTGGGCCACTGGGTTTGGTTGTAAAAAAAATATAAAATCAACTTCGTTGGTTGTCATGGTGAGTCAGATTCAATTATGCAACAAGCAGTGAAAAATGGTTTTGGAGAGAGAAAGAAATGCAGCGAGAGAAAGAGCTACTATGTGTGCCAGCTGATGTGTGAGGTATCAACGTTGAACTTATTTAACCAGACATGTTGGCTGAGAACGCATTCTTATTAACAGTTTCTGTAGGGAGACGGAGAACTGTACTCTTTTCAGTATGGATCCTTTGAGCATCTCTTTTTAAACATTCAAAAATAAGTAAACAAACAATGAATACAAGGTGTTTTTGCTTGTAATAAGTGAAAAAATCTGAAAATTTTGCTTGAACTAAGATGTAATATTTAGACCTTTCAAGACAAAAAGAGATATTGAGTGTTATTTGTTAGGTGATTATGTCATATATAAAGTAAGTAATTAGACAAATATACTGGGTAAGATTTTACGTTTTTTTGCGGTGAATTTCTTAAATCTTTCATGCAACTCAATGAATCAGAATGCTATGTAGAGATACAAAGTCCTGACGTCAGTAATTCTGTTCCATTAGCTTCACTGACTTGACGCAAGCTCTCATTCAACATTTCTTTTATTTGTCTGTGTGAAAAAAAGAAGCAGGTTAATTTTAAATTATCTAATCAAAATGGATTTAAATACAGCACTTCAGAAGTTTAATCCTTTGTAAAATCAAACAATGATTATTTGTTAGCATAAAAAACAGCAACGAGTCTCATGAATATCTAACAGTGTAGCAGCGTGGGTATAGTTATGTTACATATCAGCAATATCCACCAACTTTTACAACTTTTTACTTGTAATTTTCTGTCTAAAAACGATATTGTTAAGTCTCCTCCCCCCTGCTGTTATGACACATATAATCAGAGCTAATCCATCGTCAGACCGGGTTCTGAACTAACTGACTCGTCCATGGACTAGCCTCTTCTATTGCGTCATGAAGGTTAACCTGCAATAGTGTTGGACATATAGGCAATATTATATAATTCTCATCTACATCGAGACATATGGAGTATACTGCACAACATACCATGGAGAAAAACTATGTTTCACAGCTGGATTCTTAGTTATTTAACTTATAAAAATGTCATTGGGATTTGGAATGAGGTTTACTTTCTTCTGGATCAGAACCTGAAAGTTCAATCTGAAACAATCTTATCTATAATGTGCTGATCTGTATGTAAGTAGGTTCTAAGAATCTTGAGTAGGTGTATTGGCCTTGGTATAGAGTTGGATTGCTGGAGTGGACTGAACCATGCAGCTAGGCAGCCTCCCAAATCAACCTGTCAATCCTTCATCCCTCTCCTCCTCCTCCTCCTCCTCAGCTCCACCCTGCATTAGCAGCCTTGGGCAATCCCCCCCTATTCACGGCCTCTTCATCCCCCCACCCTTGACCCACACCCGGGACATTTGAGGTCATAACTTAACTACACCTCATCCATGCTGGACCATGTCACTGGAACCTAGTCCAGATTTCAATCATTAAGTCCAGTAAAAGACCAGCACGTCTTAACCGAGCTCAAACCAGCCAGAATGGATCCACTTGACTTTGACTGGTCTGTCCTTATTTTCTCTTTCCTATTTTCTCTTTCTCTCTCTCCCTCCCTCCCTCCCTCTCTCCTACCTCTCTGGTATTTATGTGTTGGCAGTTACCGTGGAGACAAGACACACAAACACTGTGGCGGTAGACAGGAAGTGCTGCGGAACCACAATGGCGTCACTGCGGCTCTGCGCTCGCTCTCCCCCTCTTTCTTTCTCTCGGTCTGCCCCAGCCAGCATGCATGCTATTATCCTTAGCAAGCTATATGGAGACCACACTGCACTCTCTTTCCCCCTGTTCTCTCTCATTGCTCTCATTATTATTAGCATTGCTTTTTCAGCTGTGTCCCTCTCTCTCTCTCTCTCTCTCTCTCTCTCTCTCGCTCTCTCTTTCTTCAACTTTATACCACATTAGCTGGAAAATCTCTGTCTGATTTGCGGTGTCTGGAATGCCTGGATGATGTGCTGAAAAGCTGTTGGGCTCCGACCGTTTTAACTGTTCAACCTGTCTGCAGGGCGTTCACTGTGGAGAAGCTATAGTCCCGTTTAGAAAAAACTGGGTCAAGAATGTGTTTGTGTAATGTTTCGGAGATTGTGAGAGGCCTGTGAGTAGATGAAAAACATCAGTGTTGGTGGGAGTCAGATTATAAGCATACTGTATGTGTGCTTTGTATTTGACCGAATGAGTTAACAGGTGAAGTAAAAGGTAGATCTACAGCGAGGGCAGCGCCAAAGAGAGAATAACAGGAATGTGTGTGGTCCTATTGCGGACTCTTACATCAGACTGATATTAGTGTACAGTACACATCCCTCCTGTTCTCCCTCTGTCTTTTTTACACATCACAGCTCTAAATATACTCTGGAAAAAAACCCCTTGAGAAGATACCGCCCTCTCCCACTCCACATGCTAAAAATATCCAGCCACCTTTACAACCCCCTCCTCGCTCGCTTTTCTTTCTGTCCTCACTCCCCTCATTCGCTTGACTGCTGCCTCTCTCACTCGTTCACATCTTGCACTCAACGCCAGTTCATAATGTTACAAAACTCCCAACTCTTTTATGTGTTGGGACTCCTTTCTTTTGTTTTTTTTCCTACTTTAAATCCTTTTTCTGCTTCCACCTCCTCCCTCTATCGCTCTCCTCGCGGCGGCCTCTTCTGCCAGTCCCGCAAGGCTGCTTGGCATTTCTGCTGACATAGACAGCCATCCATCCCTCCATCCATCCCTCCATCCCTCCATCCATCCCTCCATCCAGCCAACCAGTCTGTGGACCAACCAGCTGACCACCCTGCCGGCCAGCTGGTTAGAAGAAGCCTGAAACCCGGTGAACAGATGAGTTCACTGGACACACAAACGCAGAAGAAACCAAGGAGGATTTTCTTGAAGTCAGCTCATAGCATGTGAGCGAGTGAGAGAACAAATCAAGGAGAGAGATTGTCCCACATTGTGGGGAATTTGGATTGGTTTTCCAGCCATGTTGCATTCATAAAACACAATCCACAAGAGAAAGACAGGAAACAAGAAACATCCAAGAACATAACAATAAAACTGATGCTAAAATAGATAAAAATTGATGCCAAAGTATCATACGTGTCTTCTATTTATTAACCAACTCTGTCTATGGGAGGATAAAGGTCGGAAACAGCAGTTGCATAAACTATTGTGAATTGAATGCTGGTAGAAATCTTGTTAATGGCACTGTCGTTGGAAAAGAGGAATACGAAAAAGACATGAACGGGAATAATGAGACATAGTTGTGCAACTGGTCAATACACGTGTTTGTTTTTTTCCCTTTGAGGAAGTATTTAAAAGTAGTGTACTGTACACGTAAGACAGTCATTTTCTATCTTTGTTTGTGTGTGTGGCGGTCAGCGAGAGAGGAAGCCTATCTGTCGCCATATGGCGTTTCTGTTCCTGTGTTCAACCGCTGACATCATCCGGAGTGACACACGGCCGGGTGACTTCCTCCGTCTCATTAATCACTCGTGTGTTAACAGGCGTACACACTCCATCCAATTCCTGTGCCCTTTACAGCTCCGTATCACATTCTGCCCTCCCTCGTTAGCTTCGCGGCTCCAACATCAGCCTCCAACGCTCTTTCGCAGCTGGCCTGCCCACCAAGCAGTGACCTCTGACCCTCCTCCTTCTCCCCACCATAAAAACCTCCACGCCGGGCTTTCTCCACCTGCTGCTCACCTGCTGTGTGAGGGGTGAAATCAGAGGAGGATATGTCGATCTAAGCGCCAAATCACAGCAGAAGTTCTCGTGACAGATTTCATATAGAGCACGTCTAGAGTATACTTTTTCTTTTACAGAGACCCAACATTCCCCCATTAGTAAGCATTTGGGCGACGAGGAAAAACTCCCTTTTAACAGGAAGAACCCTTGACCAGAACAAGGCTCTGGGTGGGCGAGTGTTTGCTTTGACCGGTTGGGTCAAAAAAGGCATCTTGTTTTTAACTTGAGCTTTGTTCAAAGTTGAAGTGTGTACTTTGGCTCTCCTGCACTTGTGTTGTGAAACTGTGAAAATAGAAGAAGAAGAAAAAAAAGTCAAACAACCCACAACCGTTGGAGGACAGGTGATACTTCTAGTGTGTTATCTCTATGCAGATAAACCTGACAAGAAGGATCAACACCGGGCTCTGATTGGCTGATTTGAGCTGAACTTCTGCACATTGGGAGGTGCAGAGAGAGAGAGATTGAGAGTAGGGGAAAGTTACATGCAAAGAAAAAGCAGCATGTTTGTATGATTTAAATTTTGGAAGAGCTGATTATGGTGATTATGTATATTGCTGTACATTTTAAATATTACTTGGCAAACAATCATGCAACTGAATTTTAGTACCAAGGCTTTGGCACTATATCCCGGTATTAAAGCTCACTACATTTACATGAATGAAGAGGACACGAAGAAGATGGAAACAGGGAGAGCCATTAAGTGGAAGCCAGTAGTCAGCTTTGTGAAGTGGAGCGTTGAGAACTTGCAGTACATCAACTTTTATGATACTGTAAAAACGCACAGATACATCTTTGCAGGGAGATGAAGGGGGTCCGTGCACTGGCCTATTTTCTGCCACTCTGTCAGGGTCAACAGTAGCCAAAACACACATTCAGTGTGGGATGAGCCGTGTGTAAATCACAGCCCACACACACATACATCTGCAGACTACTCAGTGTAAATAAAGTTAGTCATCTCCACCACCCAAAGGACTCCTCCAAGAAGCAACAAGTCGTGGGAAATGCATCAGTCAGAGGACGGACACAAGAATAATCAAACTACTCTTTTTCACGATGCAAAAACTGGTTACTTTTTCCAGTTTGTCACTAAAACAGAGATTTGTAAAATGAAACAAATGCAAAGTATGTTGTACAAAACCAGGTGGCCTTTCTAAATGCGTAGGCGTCAGACAATAAATGGGCGGTTTAGCAAGTTAAGCCAAGGTGTGCACAAACTGGGTGTGCCCGTGTGTGTTTCCGCTACCCCCACCCATGTGAAGGGTGCTCTTGGGAGAGGGAATGTGCCTGCACTCTGTGCCCTCTGGTGCGTCAGCTTCCCTCCATTTTGGCACATGCACGCTCCCATCCCAGCTCTGTCTTTGCCCCTGTCATCTGTCTTACCCGTCTTCCTGTCTTACTTTTCCCTTAGTTTCTTGATTATTTTTGTGGTGATCATCAAACTCGTTCCCCTCTCTGTTCTTTTTTTCTGCCCTCTCCCTCTCTGTGCATGTTGGTGTAGCTGTCCTTATTTGGCTTCTCCTCGAGTGAGGGAGTGTGAGTATGAATGTGACTGTGTGTGTGTGTGTGTTTCCTCCTGACTGTGACTCACTGCTTGTCTGACTCACGAGCGCTAACAAAAACACACCGTTGCCATGGGGAGCCCCCCCCCCTCCTCCTCCCCTTCCTCTCCCATCTCTCTCTGTCTCCCCCTCCCTGTCAGCCTCTAGTTTCTCTCTCCTTGCGGCCACCGCTGCAACCCAGGCAGCCCTGGCACTGTTACATGGGTGGCACTCTGACGTGGGTGGGATGGTGGTGGTGAGGAGGTGGGATGAAAACAGAAATAAAATAAAAAATAAAGTAAAGGTGAAACCTGGTGAAAACATTGTTTATACAGAAAGATTAAAGCCCAGGAGCCTGCAGGAGGACAGAAGCCTAACGGTGCGAGACAAACAATCATCTATCATCAATAGTAAGTAGAAAGGCTTGTATTTGCTGAGACAGGCTAAACAGAAAGTGGCCACCTGTGGCTCTATTCTCTGCTTCTGTTCTCCTGCTTTTACTGCTCTGAAATTGCAGACGGCTTTGAACTGGGCCTGTCCTTTCATGTGCTAGCATCACTACTTGGCCTTGCCATAACCTCCAGGGAGCTTGATAATGTGCCCACGTGTGGCGTTGCATTTCAACAAAGATCAGGTATGGCACTGGACGTACCCACGGCCTCACGCTACCAGTGTTTGACTTCCTTATATTAAATGCTGGAGGTGCGCCAGCTAGTGGACAGAACATATGTTTCTTCCTTACTGACATATTGTGCTGGCCCATTGTTGGGTCATGTCAGTTGACATTATGCATTCTCACTCAGTCTTGTCCTCAATTTCTCATTCACACTAAATACACACACATATACACACTATAGATGGCAATGAAAGAGGCAAATCCAGATAAATCTTTATTTGTTTTCTGTGGGAATGTGGATCTTTCAGATCATTGTGTGAGGAGTGTTTTTTGGTTTGCATGTTCCACATTTTATCGTATTTATAAGAAGTGGCAGGCTATTTGATTGATGTACTCTAATAATTATCGTAGCACCTGTTGCGCTTATCCATAGACTTTATTTATTGTATTCATAATCAGTTGTATTTACTAGGCTGTCGTCTGTATAAATGGATTTTGATTTTAACATCAGGGATCACTTTGCTGATTTTGATCAACATCATGAAATGTAGTATTGTTTCTTTGTACAAGTTAACTGACCCAAAAGTGGACATTTTTACACTCACACTTTTACTTGACATACAGTAGAACTAGCTCCATCACATTCACATATTTTGCCCAATTTTAAGTACATGTTGCTGACAAAATGTTCAAACTGTTTTGCATTTTAAATGAAGGACTTTTACTTTTAATAGAGTATTTGTCTTCCACCAATTTCTTTCTAAGACTAAATACACACAGACCGGATAAAGAAGACAATACAGACACACACACACACACGCACACACACACGTTCAATACACGTTCAATACACTTGACTTCCGTTTAACTTTTGTGTGGCCTGAAAGCTCTCAGCAGCTGGCTGGTGGTGAATTGTCTGAGAACAGGCTGAAACTGAAATTGTACGCTGGCATAATCCTCAGCAAGAGAGACGGAGGGAGCGATGGTTGAGAGGGAGAGAAAGAGAGGAAACGGGAGCAAATGGGAGATATTGTAGTAGCCCAACCAATAAAAGAGGCCAATAAAACTGAGGAATGTGAGCGGATGAGATAGTTACAGACGCACAAAGAGGTTCAAAACAAAGTACGAGCTTGGGCTATACAAAAAGGCCATTGTCACACTTTATTGAAAAAATGCAATCTGCCATATATACTGTATACTTAAACTGTATATACATCAGCCATGGTAACAGAGTATTTTTTGTTGTGACTGTCAGAACAAACAGAGTGATGTACAGAGATGAATCAAGACACCGGCTGGGCACAAAACAAAGACAAGACGTCCACATGTATGACTCTCCAACTTGCAGGCCCTCTTGTTGTAATGTATTCTATCAACACTGGATTACGGCATTTATACCTTCTTCACACACACACACACACACACATTGTGCTCCAAATATGTGTACGACAGCTGTCCCTGTGTGTGTAGTAATCCTCAGTAAGCTCCCTGGCTCCCACAGTCTTTCAGTAGATCCTCCAGAGCATCTCTGACCTCACTGTGTAGCCTCTCCTACACTCCCTCCGCCCAACAACCTGCTCTCACTCATGTTGATCACATCTTTTCACTCCAACATACTGCTTGCTGCTTTCTTTCCTGGCCCGTATTCAGTTGAAGGAATGGTACGACATTTTTGGGAAATACTCTTATTTTGTTGGTAAGTTAGATGAGAAGATTGACTGTGTGGTACGTATGAAGCTACTGCAAGTAGCCAGTTAATGTAAGGTAAATAAGTAGCAGCTGGTTAGCTTAGCTTAGCATAAAGACTAGACACAAGGGGAAACTAGCCTGGCACCTCTAAAGCTCACTAACTAACATGCTGTATCTCGTTTGATTAATCCGTACAAAAAGTTTTTTTTACTTTGCAATTTTGTGGCGGACTGTTTCTTGGTTACTGCTCCTAACTAAGAAGTTGTCAGACACAACCCGAAAAAACAGCCAGGATAAACTTCCACTCTGTTTAGTTTAAGTGTCAAACGGATCCTCTATTTGTGGTGCAAGTTTGCCCTCTGCTGTTCACATCAAGCCTCCTCCAACGATAAATTCTTTCATCGCGTCCTGAGAAAACGTTCCTTTCTTCTACGTTCCAGTTTCCATTGTTCACTTTATCAATACATGTATTGTTAGTGGTGCATCCCTTATGCACATGTACACTGGAGCACTTTCAGAAAAGAGGTTAGTGGTGATACATTACTAAGACGGAGTGCTAAATAACAAGCAACATGAATTATTCTTTGAATAAAGCAGGGCTGATCTGATGATCAGTTAATGAACTCTATGTAGAAATACAAACACATGTAGGAGACATCAGAACACAACCAGTGCACACAGCCATCCTTTTCTTCGTGGGTGATTATTATCCAACATCTGCGTGGGCTGGAGGTGGAGGGTCTCAACTCTTTCACAGTGATCTTCTGCCAACTTTGGGATTCCTCTCACTGATGGGTCAAAACTCCCACAATGTCCACAATCATTATTGTCACAGTGTCCGTAAAACTCTTACAATGCAGTCCATGATGATGGGATACTGTTTTTTTTTTTTTTATAGTTGTTTATACTTTTAAAATATAAAAATAACTGTCTCCCTCATTTGTTTTAAACAAGTCTCTTAAGTAGGGAGAATAAGAGGGTTAAAGTAGAGGAAAAAAGGATTTAGGTAAATTTGTAAGGCTCCGATCCGACACAAGTACATGATGCTATTAAAGATGCTCTTTCTTCTGAACAGTGTGATTTCAGCAAATTATTCACAGTTTTTGCAGTCAGAAAGCACTTTCTTCATGTTGTACTTTGAAAAGGGAAAAGAAGCTGTCAAATGTTAAATCCATAGTACAACTTATTCCTTTTGTCACATTTAATTCCAGGAACAAAATAGCTTCTGTTGTATGGGGGGTATTGGTTCTTCCTCATCCTCGCAGAGGCCTGCAGAGAGCTCTCTAGTGATCTCTGGTGTTTGTAGTGTCCTTGGGAACGGGAAGTCTCAGAAGTTGCTGAACAGCTCATATTTCTTCATCCAGTCCATCTGCGGCGCTTTCTTCTTTTCTTTGGAATGGACCTTTAACTTTTCTTCCGCTGCCGTAGCGCTCAAACTCAGGCCCATCTCAGCGAACGGGTCCATCAGCAGGCCGCCATCATCATCCGCCAGCTAGACGGGAGATAATATTGGAGACGGAGAGACAGACAGAAGCGTTGAGGGTACTGTCTTTCATGTGAGACACCAAAGACCAAATACAGCACCACACATGAATGCTCACACCCACCTGCGTGCTGTTGCCCTGGCTGCTGAGGTCGGAGTGAGTGGACCTGAAGGACTGCGTGGTGGAGCTGCCGTTGATCTGAGGGTTAGGGGAGCCGTTGGATATGGACGGACCATCATAGTCTGTGAAAACAAACAAACAAGCCAAGATATTGTTGTTTTTCACTAGTGTATACTTTATAATCTTTATACATAATTCATATTCAAAGGGACGGGATCTCGGTCAACAGACGTAAGTCTCAAAGGTCTGTTGTCATGTATTTTAAGGTCTGAGAGTGTTGCATGAGTCAACAACTCATGCTTCATTTCATAGATTCCTAAGAATGTCCAAGTTAACCAGGAAGGACTATGTAATTAGATTCTTATTATGGGGAAAATCAAGACAGTGTTGAATTAGCTTACTTCCACTAAATTGTTTAACGTCTATCCAGACGAGTATCTCACATCCTGTTACAACAACAACAACAACAACCACCTTTATTAATTCCAGGCACAGAAACTCTTCCATGATATTTCTTCCAGACATGGAGTTGTTATGGACCCAATTCATTTCAAACTATTGAATCACTCTATCAAATAAGTCAAAGCATTTAAAACACGGCTGCACAGAACGTTTCAAAAGAAAAATGTATGATGGGTTTTGATGTAGCCATTTTCCAGGAAATTTTCTTTAAAAAATGATGAAACTCTAAAATAAAATGTTACACAGATTTCTTGACAACCTCATTATTTGCAGTAAAATACCCGCTTTGACTTTCTAATTGCCTAGTTGCCTCCTAAAAGTTTATATGTACCACACAGCGTTTTGTTAATGCAGTCCTACCTCTGAGATGGCTGACCGCGGGGACAATCCCTCTCCTCTTGAAGTGTTCGTCGGTTTCTGAGTCCACCACCAACAGCCAGGTCTCATCTCCCCCTTTCTTTATGAAGGCCACCACCTCTGCATGCCGCATACCCTCGATGTTCACACCATTTACCTGGAGAACACAGAGACAAATATAAAGGGTTGTTTTTGTAGGAAGGAAGGATATTTTTAAATGGTTTCGTAGGTTGGTTGTTATAGCCCTTGGTTCTCCATCAGCACACTACACCAGTGGCAGACTAAGGCTGTCTGAGGGGCAAGGGTGAAAAAAAACAGCACCAGCGTGCAGAAGTATTTAGGGAAGTCTATATGGCACTGCATCTCGCCTTCTCCACTAGAGACGCACCCTAGAGTGCACTTTACCACGTTTTATCTACCGCATAGGGGCATCCAAAAGGGCACTTTTGCTGCAAATGAAGGGTGAATGTTATGTGCGTACACTGAGAGGAAAAATTGCTTATGATGAAAATGATAGTGTTACTTCCGGCATTCATTTTTCTTTTTTAACCGGGGCAAAGTCGACTGAACGCCCATGACATCTGGATATTTGAATATATGCCATTTACCTTTTATGTGACTTAAATGCATGTGGCTCTGTTTGTGACTGAAGCTTTAAAATGCTCTTGAATACAGTTTGCTGTCTGCCTTTGCATTGTTTTTTTTTTGTTTTTTTACACACGTTTCCTTCAAAGGGGGGGCGGTCATCCACTGCTTTGGATGACCAAAGCAGACCAAAGCAGTGGATTTTGACTCAACTTTTGAGTTTAATTCAACCATATGACATCGTTCACTTCACTTTTACTTTTCTTAATTTATTGTCCTGCTTTGTCTCAAACATGCTCAGTAAATGTACAAGACCAAAACATGCTGGCATGGCCGACCAGAACCGTAAGGTTCCCAGTTAATTGTGATTTCTGCTTAAGAGACATTTACAACCAAATCAGATTTTTCCAACACAAAACTCTCCAGGTCAGTGGGTTGGTTAAGTTACATTCAGCTTTATTTTGAATATAGCATATGAATAAACCTTCCCATCACTCTTTTTCTTCATTGTTGACATTGTCAACAAACACTGTGTTACCTCATTTGTCCACTAAGTGGAGCCCTTGTGAAAGGGATTTCACCTATCAGGCAATATTAGGGCCAGAGACAGTCTAACAGAGGGACATAATGACTCTGTGTGCATGTGACTGACCATCTATGTGACAATATTGCCCTAGAAAAACACAACAGCCTGCTATTGCTTGCTCTTATCAAGATGCTGCGTGCATTTGGAGACCTGCTTTGTCTAGACCTTGGCCTTTCTGAGGCAGGCAGCTTCGCATCACGCCAAGTTAGTGTTGATACACAATCAATTATTGATGGCTCTCCTGGGCTCCTGGCTATAGTGCGGGTTTCAGGTGTCCGAGTCCTGAGGGGGAATTTGTTTAAAATTCAATGCTTGTGACAAGATGGGACGTAGTGAAGAAGAGAGAAAAAGAAACTCCTAAACTTTTTGCTCTCATTTGTGGGTGAGGAAAATGGTGGGAAATAGGTCTGTAGGCAAAATTAGGTGCGATGAGAGACTTTATGGGAAAGGAGAGAGAGAGAGAGAGAGAGAGAGAGAGAGAGAGAGAGAGAGAGAGAG